CACACACACACACACACTTGATTACATTCAATAAAGCATGTTGGGACATTCATGACAAATAACAATATGGTATATTTATTTAATTGGTATATAACCTTGTCTGAGCATTTGACAAAGTTTCAGTGTATCAGCAGGAAGAATCAGTTCAGTTGACATCTTTATTGTCCCACAAGAGGACATCCTTCCTGCAGCAAGATGGTATAAAAACATAAACACAAACGTAGGTATATCAGAATTAAGGGCATTTATTGTACACAGAATAAATGTCAGATTCCTTAAAGAGAGGAATCTGGATTTGCTATAATAGATGTAGCAATGTTTCCCAGTTGATTCCTGTTTTGCACAGTTAGATTATACACATACCAACAAATCAGTGAGAATGTATGAAGCATCAAGTTTAACAGTCAACATAAAAAAAACCTATAACCTACATAGAAAATAGTTCTTCACACTTTCCACATCTTGCCCTTTAACAATAATCTGACTGTGGCTGATGGTTTGTTCATTTTGTGATCTTGTGAGTCCAGCTGCCTGTTGAAGGTTACTTCAACAATCAGGTCTGAGAAGGTGGAAATACACCTTGAGTGGCTACTCTATTAGACATACAACAGTGTATAAAGTCTCTGTGAGAGTCTGAACTCACAACTGTCATGTCTGAAAGGCTTCGTGCTGATTTTCTTCTCCAAACCAACAAAATAGACAGAGAGCTAAAGAAAAACAGAAAGATTATTTTCCTGTCAGAACAGTAATAAAACATGTCTGCGGTTCTGATAAAGGCCTGTAATGGAAGTTTCTCACAGCAACTTCAACTTGTACTGGCAAGAAAAGCACATGTGGAACTAATAACTTTGATTAATTGGCCCAATTCCATTTAGGTGTGCCACCCAATTTAATTACAACAACAACTACATTGGTTCCCCACATATACAGGCCTGCAGGCTGTATGTCTCCATGTTAAATAGATCTCTCCCTGTTCCCTTTCCAGAGGACGACCCCACCCACAAAGTAGATGACAGCAACACCCGGATTCTGATTGGCTGTTTAGTGGCCATCATCTTCATCCTTGTGGCCATCATTGTCATCATCCTGTGGAGGCAGGTGTGGCAGAAAATGCTGGAGAAGGTGAGCTCTCGTGCATTATGATTCCACAATCTTCTTTCGGGAGGCGGTCAGATCTGTTCCTTCACCTCCCCCACGTTCTTTATTATAGGCCTCTCGCCGGATGCTGGATGATGAACTAACCGCTAGTTTGTCAATACAGAGTGAGACATTCGCCTACAACAACAACCAGTCGAGTACAACCAGTGAGCAGGAGTCTAATTCCACCTATGAGCGCATCTTCCCCCTCGGTCCTGACTACCAGGAGCCGTCACGCCTCATTTGTAAGCTGCCAGAGTTTGCTCAGAGCTCAGAGGAGCCTGGTAGGTGGACTCACACATCAGCTTATATATACACATCAATTTAAATTGACATCAACGTGGTCCCTTATCTCATTGAAATTCCCAGTTACAGTTTGGTGCATTGTGTTCCAGCTTCTACCAGCACAGCAGCTTCTAAATCCACCACAACTACTGTAGCCCAAGATGGGGTCCCTCACTACGCAGAGGCGGACATTGTAAACCTGCAAGGTGTGACTGGAAGCAACACATACGCCATTCCTGCAGTTACTATGGACCTGTTGTCAGGGAAGGATGTAGTAGTGGAGGAATTCCCACGAAAGTTGCTTACGTTCAAGGAGAAGCTGGGAGAGGGCCAGTTTGGAGAGGTGTGTGCTCAGCTCTCCTTTCAGCAATTAGACAAGCAATAGACAAGATAGATAAGCAACTATCATTTTCTTCCTCTCCTTTCTCTCCTTGCCACTTCCTCTTCCTCTCAGGTGCACCTGTGCGAAGCAGAGGGAATGCAGGAGTTCATGAATAAAGAGTTTTTATTTGACATCCCCGAGGAGCAGCCAGTTTTAGTGGCTGTGAAGATGCTTCGTTCAGATGCCAACAAAAATGCAAGGTATCGACTCCAGATGCACGTTCGATCGACACCAAATACCTCGTTTATACCCTGCACCTGAAACTGAAAATACATCCTGTGTTGAGTTTACATAATTCTGATTGCTCTCTGTGTAAAGTTACTTTTTTGTGTTTTGGTAGGAATGACTTCCTGAAAGAGATAAAGATCATGTCACGTTTGAAGGACCCCAACATCATTCGCCTGCTAGCTGTGTGCATCTATAGCGACCCTCTCTGTATGATCACAGAGTACATGGAGAACGGAGATCTTAACCAGTTCCTGTCCCGCCACGAACCAGAGGGACAACTTGCTCTGCTCAGCAATACACCTACTGTCAGGTCAGTGGTGTTGAACAAACAAGTGAGAGACAGTTGTATGTTTTCTATTCTATTCCCAACACGTGTTTTGTTTTCTCTCCAGCTTCAATAATCTGTGCTACATGGCTGCTCAGATAGCATCGGGGATGAAGTACCTCTCCTCTCTAAACTTTGTTCATCGAGACTTGGCCACGCGGAATTGCCTGGTGGGCAAGAACTACACAATAAAGATAGCTGACTTTGGCATGAGCAGAAACCTGTACAGCGGGGACTACTACCGCATCCAAGGCAGAGCGGTACTGCCAATACGCTGGATGTCCTGGGAGAGCATCCTGCTGGTAAAGACCGCAGCTTAATGAATGACTTTTATTATGGAGAAAATTCCTTTATTTCATGCAGAAAAATTTGCTTGTCATCGTTTTCTTGTGCAGGGTAAGTTCACCACAGCGAGCGACGTGTGGGCCTTTGCGGTGACACTGTGGGAAATACTAAACTTCTGCAAGGAGCAGCCCTACTCTCAGCTCACTGACGAGCAGGTGATAGAAAACACAGGGGAGTTTTTCAGGGACCAGAAAAGACAGGTGAGTGTCGTTGCGAATATTTCATCTGCATATAAGAACCGGTGAATCCCTGGCTTCATTACTCATTACCCTGTCATGCAGATCTACCTGCCTCAGCCTGTGCTGTGTCCAGACTCGCTCTACAAGATCATGCTGAGCTGCTGGAGGAGGAACACAAAGGAACGGCCCTCCTTCCAGGAAATACACCGAGCCCTCCTGGAATAACAGCCTTAATCTGGGGTTGTGTTTAAGACAGTGATTCCCAGTCTGCTCATCTCTGAAAGGATATGGTGCATGACAAGAGTACACCATGATTCAGACACAATCCAGGTTTAAGCTATCCTGTTTCAGCAGAGAAACAGGGTGAGAGCCATCTGTGGGCTCCAGGCTACAATTTGGGAAACACTGTTTCATGGACTTGCACTCTAGAAAGATGGACTACCAGAGACTTTTGTGTGTCAGTTTGAATTTAACTCGCACAATCACGTTGGCCAAGATGTTTTATAGACATACAGGTATTCTTAGAAAACTCTACTCTGTTTTTAAAGTACACCAAAAACACACACAGAAACTTGATTAAGGTTTGGTTGTGACGTGATGAGGAAGCCAAAGTTAAATGTAGCAAGTGACTTCGGCACTTTTGAAAATGTATTTTAATTTCTTTTTTTAATATGAATTCAAATTTCCCATGTTACAGTGTTTGATAACACTTTCTTGTGTTTTCTGTTGGAAGACTGCTTGAATGTAGAGAAGTGCAGCAAAGCATTACTGTCACATTTCATTGTGAAAGTGTTTCATCTCATTTAGAATGACAAGGAAATATCAAGTAACTCAGTCTTTCTCATCTCCCTGCAGTTTTCCTACGGTGATTTGAACATGAAGTGTATATGACTGTGTATTTTCAATAGATAAGTCTAAATCTCAAATAGCAGTATTTTGTATTAATATTTATATGTTCATATGTGTTTTTTCTGTTTATGTTCTGTTGATATATTTGTGGATTAATATGCTCTTTAAGTTGTTTGGAGTATCATATTTGATTTGATTTTCAGTAACTTTCCTGCTCACATGTTGGATCTAAAAACGGCCTTACGAATAATTATTTTGTTTCCTACTGCAAGCTGTTATTGTCTTGCATTGATCACAAACTACTATCAGCAGCAAACTCTTTGATAACTGATGAGATGTTGCAAGATGTTTTATCAGTAATGCAGGCTGTGCAATGTTTGTGTTTACAGTCAGCATCAGTGAAAAGATGTTACAGAATGTGTTGTGAACAGATTAATGTATATATGCTTATAGTTCGTCTCAGTTGACAAAGAAAGTCTAAAATGCCTTTGAATTCAGGAATGTAGAGGAAATGTGTTTAATTGGAACATCTGACTGCTTCAGATTAGTCTATATTAGCTCATGAAAACTATCAAACACAGCTAATCACCCATCTAAAGGTTCAAATTATTTAGTTAGTTTGCTCTTTCTTTTATTGTATTGTATTGTATGCTGGATTCTTCTTCTTTTCTTGCATAATTCTGTGTATAGTTCTCTGTTAGCTTGGACTTCATACCGCATACCACTGTTTCAGCCAGTTCAGCTGTATTTACAGGCTGTATCCTCTTAATAGAGGCCCTTGTCCCACTTACGTCATCCTTATCTTTCTGTGTTTTGCAAGCGAGTGCGAGTACAAGCTGTAAAGTATAATATTCAGTTTGGAGACAGATTTGTGAAGCATGTGGTGATTCCCATCAGATATAGAAACCTTTTTCACACCATTTACAATCTTCTCAGTGTTATTAATGAATCAGAGGCAGATGTATAGCTGTAAAAAAAAAAAAAAAAAGTGTAATGGCATCCTGATAAATCTCATGATTAGTTTTATTACATATTTGTACTCAAATGTTTGTTTTTCTGTGAGAATGTTTTATATACGTTGGAAACAAAAGTTGTACATTGATAGACCAAATACAAATAAAATTTTAAAAGAGGAATTGTATCCCCCTGAGAGCTCCTGCCTTATTCATAAGTACTGAATATTACATAGCGTGTGGGCGGTCCTTCGATCTGAGCCGACTGATTTGAGGATCTTATTGGGTGAGAGCTTCTGCAGCGTCCAATCACAAATATGGAGGCGGGGTGAAAATGATGAACTTCACAGGACGGACTTAAGAAAGTCTTTGCCATGGAGCAGACACAGAACTTGTTGCTTTGAAAGAACATTAATAGAGTTATTTGGTGCAGTAGAAGTGTGTTCTGCATGCAGTTTGTTTCCAGTTTGGACCAGAAAGATGAATAAGGTGGTTTTGGTGACCGGGGCAAACAGGTAATGGCTGTATTCATTGTTTTAATAGTAAACCTGAAGTCTGGTATCTTTACTGTAATGGATTTATGACAATGCGGTGAAGTTAGTTTTAAGTTGGAT